CCAGCAAGAAGCTGCGCAACAAGATCGCCGGGTGAGCCGCCGCGCTGCATGCTGGGACACCGCTGAGGTCTGAGCTAGAGCTCTGCAGGGGTGCAGTGGGATCAGAAAACCCCAGGTTCAGTGTTAGCGGAGTAGATGTGCTTGCTCCAAACAGAGAGGCGGATCCATCTGTGTGCAGAAGCCTTTCGCCGGAGATTAGGCCGCAGACAACAGCTAGTGATGTAGCAAACCATCACGGTCGTGTTTCTAATCCGCTGCTCAGAAAGATCTTGTGTCCGTCAGGCAGGCACTAGTATAAAGTAAATGAAATGCATGTAAAGGAGAAGCAGCCAAGCCCGTGCTTCTGGACTGATGCAGGCTAAACGCGTCGTCGGGTCGGGTCCAGTCTAGTTTCATCGGGTCTTGATGAATCTGCTGGTCGGGGTCGGGTACAGCGCTCCTCTGACTCTGGCTCAGCTGAGAAACACTGCGCTTCTGCGATCAGAGCACACACCCTTCATTCCACGACTCCATCAATCTCTCTGTTTTTCTCGTTTTCTAAACCTCCTTAAATCAAGATGCATTTACTTAGTCTCAAGATTCACGTCTTGTTTTGTGAGAAACTGAACCAAATGAAGAGTTTATGATCAAAGCAAGAGCAAATATCTGAAGTTGATTTCTCTGACTCCATCGGTGGATATTCGTTCTTGTTTTGATCAGATTCTCATGAACGTGAATGAGTACACTTTTATTCTCCAGTAAATGTGTTGATGTAAGTATGCAGTGTTAAACGGACCGAATCACTGTGTTGCGTTCACACGCATGAACCTGCAGAAGCCCAGTAACCTGGACGAGCCTGAGCTCCTTCTGATCCAACACTGAAGCTGAGGTCCAGACTCGTGCCTGTCCTGCGGCCGTCTGCAGGCCTCCGATGGTGTTTGCTGGACCCTGTTCCTGACAAACCCTCTTCCACACGCTTTCATTGAAACTGACCTGAAGGATTTTAAGTTGAAACTGGAATAAATGATTTGATTGAATACTTCAATACGCAAATAGAAACTGAGTGTCACGTAATCAGTTGCACATAAGGCAGATTTGATGTAAACTCAGTTTGCTTCTACTTCATGTTCTTGCTGAAATCTGAACGTTTAAACCGTGGCTGTTAAAAACTTGCTTTCAAGACCGATTTATGCAAACATCACCTATTGGTTACATAGAGATGATGAATGTCTGTAGTGCATATATTAGCGAAATGCTCGTGTCCAGTTATTATTTTCTAGTCGACTGACGAGTTTTTGGACAATGGGACGAGCCTGAGCTCCTTCTGATCCAACACTGAAGCTGAGGTCCAGACTCGTGCCTGTCCTGCGGCCGTCTGCAGGCCTCCGATGGTGTTTGCTGGACCCTGTTCCTGACAAACCCTCTTCCACACGCTTTCATTGAAACTGACCTGAAGGATTTTAAGTTGAAACTGGAATAAATGATTTGATTGAATACTTCAATACGCAAATAGAAACTGAGTGTCACGTAATCAGTTGCACATAAGGCAGATTTGATGTAAACTCAGTTTGCTTCTACTTCATGTTCTTGCTGAAATCTGAACGTTTAAACCGTGGCTGTAAAAACTTGCTTTCAAGACAGATTTATCCAAACCACCTATTGGTTACATAGAGATGATGAATGTCTGTAGTGCATATATTAGCGAAATGCTCGTGTCCAGTTATTATTTTCTAGTCGACTGACGAGTTTTTGGACAATGTCTTTCCTGACGTTATGAAATGCAGTGATCTCTCACGCCAGGATTTAGTGATGAGTGACCGTTGAGAGACTTTCACATTAGAAGTATGAAAGCTTGTTGCGGTCGCTGGACGGGAGACGCGCTACGAATGATGTTTCTCTGCAGATGTGTGTTCGTGGAGCATCAGAAGCGCTCGTGAAGAGTGTTTCAGCTGAACGAGTGCTGTGTGTCTGCAGGTACGTCACACACCTGATGAAGCGCATCCAGAGAGGGCCGGTCAGGGGGATCTCCATCAAGCTGCAGGAGGAGGAGCGCGAGCGCAGGGACAACTACGTGCCCGAGGTGTGTCTCTCTTAGTGCTGGGCAGTATGACCAAAAATTTATATCACGGTATTTT